CAGGATCTGGGAGCCACAGAAGACCATGTTTAAATCAGTGTCGTTATATAAAACACAAGCACAGCCATAGAAATTCAAATATGAAGAACCTCAAAACTCTCAGAGTCATCATCAGCGAAAGCTTAGCAAGGCTGTGCTCAAGCTCAGACCTTGGAAATGGTAAAGCTAATTTGGAGAACTTCGGAAATGCTCCCGAGGAGAGCAACAAAAATTATGTTCCCAAATGTTGATTTGGGAAAGATGCTTCACAGAGGCGCAGGTGTGAGAGCTGGTTTTTCCTGGGGTGACAGAAAACAAGGGGTGGGGCACTTAACAAAGCTACCCAAACAGGATGTCAAGTGATGAAGGGCAGGGTTCCTCTCTGATGCTCAAGGGCGAGGACAAACACAGCCAGTGATGCCAGAGACAGGATTAGATGTGACAGAGATGCTGGAAATGCTTATCAGGAAGGCTGAGAGCCTTCTCTGGAGACCAGAGAAAACACAGCAAGCTTTCCCTGGCAATTCCAGCACATTCTGCCCAGAGGGCAAGGCAAAGGTCCCATGCAGTTCCTCATTCTCAACTGCTTCCCTCTCCCTGCACGAGATGACCTCTGGGAGAAGCCCTCACCTGGCCTCTTATCAGGCTGGGAGCTGCAGGATGTAGAGAAGAAAAGTATTTGCTCCCAAATGTCCACAAAATGATTTAGGATCTCCATGCGAAGCATCTGCCTAAATAAGACTGGTTCTTAACATCCTTAGAAACAGAAAACAGATATCTAAAATAGACCACCTTCATAAAAAAGTGACACCGAAGCTCTTTCCACACTGCCAAGAAATATTAGGTGAAAAAAAGCAAGGTTCCAAATAGCAGGTATAGTACCCTACCATTTGTGTACAAGGGAGGGGAATATTCATAACTAATTTGCCAATACACGTATACAATACCTTGGATGTGCATGCAACACCTCTGCAGGATGAAGAAATCAGTAACACTGGTTGCCTCTAAGGAACAAAACTAGGTAGCAGGAGTGAGGGGTGGATAGAGATGTATTTACTATCTAACCTTTTCAGCCTTTTGAATATTTTCTTTCATCATGTAAACATATTACTTTTTAAAAAAAAACTGAATTAAAAACATTAAAAATTTTTTAATGTAAAATAAAAACAAAATAGTCTTTATGCAGCAAACCAAACACACTGTTAATCTGGACAGCTGTGTTCCTGGCACATGCCAGGTGCTCAGTTTTTTGAACTTAATGAACCTCCACTTAAAGCCAACAAAAGAAAATCAGAAACCAGGCAAACCCGGGGGTATCAATGTTCCAATTCTCTAATAAGCTCTTTACCTGTCTGCTACTTAACTATGGCAAAAGATCAGAAAATGGGTTCTGTGTAACAAGCCCTGTGCCCAGCTGGGTCCAGTGCACAAGCTTCATGGGTAACAACAGGTCTGATCATCCTCCACACCAGCCATTTTATAAACAGAAAACATTTAATCCCAAAACATGATGCTCTGGAGCCAAGGCAACAAAAATAAATGTGCAGATATGCAAATGATCCTCAAGGGAGATAACATCAGCACCTGCACGGAATCAATACAGAAACAGCAGTACGGGGGTTCAAAATGTCCTTAACCGTGCATCGTCCAAAAAGGTTGGAACATGAAAAGGTGCTATAAAATCCTAATGTCAGACCATATCAAGAGGCAGCCTGAACCCTCAGTGCTCTGTTCCTAGGGATAGCTTAGCTCAAGATGAAACAGGAAGGCTTAACCACCTGATGCCCCAATCATCTACACTCTTAAATTGGTCAAGGAGTACTCAAAATCTACACTGCGATAAAAATCAGAATAATGTAAGCAGTAGGTCATGGCAGAAATTCTGCCACAGGGAATTCTATTATATTGGAAGTATCTCTCTGCTAGGGCTTTCCTAGAGCCAGGTTTGGGGCAAAAAAATAAGACAGACTCTGCCTCTGTCTTCCACAGGACCAAAGAAACAGTTTCGTGCTCTGGGCAGGAGCCCTGGGCAAGGGCAGTGGGGAACCACTATAGTATCTGTGGGTTCTGCCAGAGGTTACGAGGAGAAAGGCGTAAGTGGAAGAAGTAAGGAATAACAGCAAATGAGAAGCCCTTTCCCCCAAGACGTTACGAGAAAAGAGAGCAAGATAGAGCGAAAGGGGCACATATTAATACACAAAGAAACCAAAGCGATGATTCAGATGGCTGAGCTCTAGAACGTCCTAAAGAAAAAAACAAAACTCAGAATCAACTCTTAAGAAGGTGCCAATCAATGAATAGTGATAACCTTTGGTTGATTCTAGAAAACATGTAAAAACAGAAAAAAGGAAAACCAAAGTTGACCGGATTTTAGCAAGAAATAAAGGTGACAGCTACTTCCAATTAAAAGCGAATTGGCTGGCAAACTGAGAATGAGTATTTATCAAAACTGTGAAAGTGATACAGGAAATGAAGGTGAAAGCAAAAAAGAAAGAAAGGGAACTTCCCCAACTGAAAGGAGAAGAAAAGGCTGTTCCACTGCACTTGCCATCTGGTTTATTTCAAGCTCAAGAAAAGAACAGGAAAAACACAGAAAAACCAGTGAACCAGCTAGATTACCAGCAAGAATCAGTCACACACTTGTGTTTCTGCCAGGCGAGCAGGCGCTGCTGGTACTCCCTACTCGAATGACTAAGTAACCTGCTTAAACGCATTTGACACACGATCCCTGAACTTCCGAAAAGCACTTAATACAGTGGCTCATGAAATCTTAATCTAAAAATGTTCATCCATTTATAATCAAGCTGCACCACACTGACAACTGGGAAGGAGGGTGGAACAGAGGGAAGAGGTATTTGGAAGGACGCCATGGAGAATGGTATCATCGGGGGCTGTTTATCACTTTGAGGGACTTCCCCTCCTCCTTTTTAAAGAGAACACAAGAGATTTGGAGTCTACAAAGAATGTAATTACAAGGAGAGGGCTAACAGAGAAAACGAATTACCTGATTCAATAAAAGACAGAAAAATAAATAAGAAATAAAATGCAATGTGACTTGGAAAACCCCACAGACGTTTGTGCTACCATGAAATCTGGAATATGTCTAATGAACCGGAGGTGGAGGAGGCAGGGAAAAAAATTAGCCCCTGATAGAAAACATTGGGTGATAGATATGAAGAAAAACTGTATAAAAGGGCAATAGAACATCATATTTACCAAATCTGTAGTGGTCACTATGTGCCAGGCACTGTTCTAAATGCTTCAGATATAGTAACTCATGTCATCCTCAAAACAACCTTCTAATCTAAGTACCATCATCATTCCTGTTTTATAGGTGAACAAACAGAGGCACAGAGAGGTTAAGTAACTTGCCCAAGGTTATAGCTAGCAAGAAGCAGGCCTAGAATTCAAATCCAGGCACTCTGGCACCAAAATCTGTGCTTCTAACCTCTCTGGACTCCCCTAGAATTTAAACACGGAGAGTGAGATAACTAGGTTGGGAGTGAAATACAAGCCCTGCACTGGCTGGATCCAGGGTCAACAGATCGTCCCTTAGTCACGGCCTCATGATGAGCAGGCAGCCCTGTTCCTCTCCTGTGCACTGACAAGATGGATTAGATGAACTCTACCTAAGGGGTCTTCAGCGCTAAAAAGCCACAAGTTCATGCTGATTGATCTGCTTTCTGACTGGTTATTCAAAGGTGAATTCATCCTAAAACAGGCAGCAAGTTGTGTTAAGGTTCTTTCTCTGCCTCCTGACCTTCAGAAGATTATGATGTCCTCTCTACTCAGGCAAATGACAGAGGGCAGTGAAAGGGGTACTGTATGGTTTCTCTTTTGGACTCTTCTTACTGCAGTTGTAATGAAATGGCCCTCAAAAAGCTCTGGGCGCAGATCACATTAACTCCGCCAAACCTACCGTCTTCCCAGGCCCCTCTCATGAGCCTGCTCTTGGAACCTGCCTTTGGATCCAGTTACTGGAATGCAGGCGAAACTGACACACTGGAGGTGGAGCAACCAAAAGAGAGGAATTGGGAGGATTAAGAGAGGCAGTCCACGGTAGGTCAAATTAAGGAGTTTCATGATGGCTAAAGAAATCTTATCTTCTTGGTATAGTCCATTCTCTTTGCTAACACCCATTCTTGAGAATTGAGACCACAAGATCCATTATGGGTGAATTCAACACCCACTCCCAACTTAAGGGACCTCCGGAAGCATCCTTCACAAGTGAGGTATTAAAGGTCACCCAGAGTGCATCTGTGAGTGGAGATGGGCTGTAGGTGGGTCATGCAGTCCTCCCTTGGGAGGCCTCGCTAAGCATTACTGACAGGTGGCTGTCATCTGGCCTCTGCCTGGTCACATCCAAGGTCGAGGCGCTGGTTGCCTCGCCTGGCAGGGAGCCACCTGCGCTGCTGGACAGCTCTCGCTGTGAGGAAAGCCCACGAAGCGCCTAGAACAGTGCCCGGAGCAGGGCGACCTCAGTTCCAAATGGGTCAAAAGCTGTCTCCTTACAATCTGAACCCAGCGATCCCGGGTGTGCCCCTGGAGCCCAGAAAAGCAAAGGCCTCTCGGATATCCGGGGCTGTAAGCAGGCCCCTTGGCCTTCTCCTTCCAGGTGCGTATCCTGGACCTCCATCACCACGCCTGGGCCAGCATACCCCCACTCCAGACCCCAGACGTCCCAAGAGTGCGCACCGATGTAGAGATGGCCGGCAGGGAGGCCGCGGTCGGGGCTGTCCCCTACCTCGGAACCTGGGGCAGGAGGGGACAAAGGGCTTTCAGGAAGGCGTATCCCACCCGCTGTGGTCCAGGCGGCCCCCCTCCCCGCCAGTGGGCGAGCCGGCTCTTGGGATCCCCGTGGCATCAAGTGACAGGCCCCCAAGGATCCCCGAGGATCTGGGGCGTGCAGACTGCGGCGCGATGGGCCAAACCACGATGGGAACCGCGGGGCTCAGAGGTTTGACCCGACGGATCCGGGGCGCGATTCCGGCTTAGCGGAGCTCGCTCGGCCAAGGCATTACCTGCGCGTGGTTGACTACAGCGGTCCAGCTCGCGCCCAGGCCGGTTCCCGCAGCTCCGCAGCTGCCGGCGGCGCTCATGGAAATGCAGCCGGAACCCCTGGCCAGTGCAGCTCCCGCCGCTACCGGCCCCGCCCAGGCAACTGCCGCCACGCCCCTGACGACCGCTTCTGCTACGCCCCTAACCGCGGGAACCCGCCCGTTCATTGGGCGGCCCAGCCGCTGCTCTACTAGCCCCGCGCGCTCATTACACCTGGGGGGTAGCCCATTGGTCAACGGAGCTGCTCCTCAGAGTGGAGGCGGAGCCCTAAGTGGAGAGCGCTTGGTAACAATTGGTTACTTTTGACGTCTGTAGCGAGTGAGCCAAGACGCTATTGGATAAGGCCAGCCCGGAGGGGGCGGGGAAAAGGGAGGAGGGCTAAAAGATGGGTCGTGTTTGATGTTGATGGGGGCGGGGTGCGGAGACAGTGGCAATTGTGACCTGAAGCTGGTTGGGGGCGGGTGCTGAGTGAGGTCACGTGTCGTCTGGGGTTGGGAGGACGGAGGACCGCTGGTAGCTCAGCTGCGGCGTCTGATGGCTCCAAGCCGACCGACTGACTCACCTGTTTCCCAGGACGCAAGGGGTGAAATTTGGGGGTCGTGCCCCAGAAGAGAGGAGGGAGGGTAATGAGTCACTAAGCCGCAAGGAGAGGAAAGAATGTGGAGGCAGCAGCCTCTGGCCCCTTCCAGCTAGGGAAGGGTGATGAGGACATGCCGGGCTGTATGGACCTCACTTGTTCACTGTCCTTTCAGGCTTTAGGATGACCCTTGTCCAGTTGGAGGCCGCCTGGAAGAAGGTAGCCTTTGGAGTTAGGCCTAGAATTGCGCCCCCGGTTGGCATGTACAAGTTGCATGGCCTAGAGCAAGTCACTCACCCTTCCTGCATGCACTCTGATTTTTTCATTTGGCGACTGGGAGTAACAATAGTAGTTGATGAGAAGATTAAATAACTGGTAAACACTCACAATGCCTGGCATTCAGTAAGCATTCAATCACCACTGGTTCCCCACCCACTCACCCCCATCCGTCCGTGGAACTAGGCCCAGTTCTAAAATTCTATGAGCCTGAAACTGCTTTGCAATGGCATGTGCTTTACCAAGAATAGAACACTTGACCGAGTTGAAATGCAACCCCTTTAGGGCAGAGAGGGCCACCCTACCAGGACACAGTAGGGCTGGAAGAGAGAGAACAGGAGATGAGATGGGAGGAGCAAGTTAGCCAGAGAAGGGAAATGGTATTTGTAGCAATGTTAAATTTTTTCCAACACATTTCAGGATTATGAGGAGGAAAAATGGAGCTTCCTTTATCCAGTTCACCCATTCAAGGGTCTGATGGCTCAAGTTTCATGGAGCATGACCAGATAACCCTTTGAAGGCTGATCAGCTCTGGACCAGAAACCACTGCATAAAATCTGTCAGGAACCTCTGAAGCCCATTCCCCACTCTGAAGGTGTGGAAGTCCTAGAGTGTGAACAGAGACAGCCTCTCAGGCCTGAATTTAGCCCCAGACCCTTTGGGTCTGCCTTTGAGAGCCCCTGCACCATGGTGTTCCAGAGTGAAGGTGGAAAAAGAATCCTTTGCCATTGCTATATTTTTCATTCAGTTGTCATGTTACCTAAAAAAGAAGTTTTACTTCAGCATTTATTTATTCCCCTATATTCTCTTCCATCTTGGGAAAGGAAAACCCAGGCTTTGTAGCAGAGGATTTTAGTGAGCAACCCCCATAGTTCTGACTCTTTTTCTTAAGACAGTTTGAGCTTTCAGAAAAGAACTTCAGATCTGTTGCCAGGTGTGTGTGTGTGTGTGTGTGTGTGTGTGTGTGTGTGTGTGTGTGTGTGTGTGTGTGTGCGCGCGCGCGCGTGCACGCTTGGTTCTGCTCCACAGTTTTCCAGTTCTTGTGTCTTTAAATGACACTGCTTAGTGGCCCTACATATGTCTGTACGTGTTCTAGGGAAACAGCACTGACCCAACACTGGTTTGCTCCTGCCTGTGTTTGCTAAAGGAGGCTGAGATGTCTTACTAGGCCCTGAAAGGCATGAAGTGGCTCCTGAGATCCGGGAAGATTTCTCCAGCTTGATTCAGAGCCACAAATAGCGGCTGTTATGAGTAGATCGCAGAGGGACTTACCACTGTGCAAATGGATTTTTCCCCCATGTCAAAACCATAGGTTCAGCCAAGAGTTCCAGAATGGGATGTCCATCCAGTTCAGGAATTCTAAAACACAACTGTGTCACAGAGGCTCACAAAGAAGCACAGAATGAGCCCAGGCAGAGGAGGAAGAGGGAAAGGACCTGTGCATCCTCCCCTTTGCAGCTCTAGCTGGCTTAAAATAATGATCCATTACCATTTGCAACACTTAGAACTGTTTTCTTATTTGTCTCTGGTTTCTGCTTCCTCCCTTCTGCTTTGGCTTTTGCCATATTCTGTTGAATCATATTATTTTAATCTATAAGGCATTTCTGTGGGAGGCCATTTAGGAGTCAGAATGGACTCATTTTTGCCTTCAAGTTTAGTAGCCTGTCAGGCTCGAGGATTTGGTGAGGCTTGGCCTGGAATAACCAGTGGTTAGAATGTAACTATGAAGTACGTTTCTGAAAGCATGCGAGTGCCTTGTCATAAAGAGTAAAAGGGAGAGGGTGTGCACCCACTCACCTTCTGGAATAGCTAAAGCTCCAGGACTTCACTAAAGTAGAACTTCTAAACTCACCTGAGGCCTCTCGACAGGATTTCCTAGTTCTGCAAAAGTCCTCGAGGTCCACTGGAAGACAGCAGGCAACGGTGGTCAGAGCATATTGTGTGTTCTGTTTATTCTCTTCTTGCAAAATCAGCAATTCACTTAGTTTGTCATTTTCATTATTCTGAGCCCTTAGGGGATGGTTGAGAGCAAGAGGCTTTGGAGCCTCTGCTGCTGGGGCTTGATTCCTGGCTCAGCCCTTCCTAGCCTTATGACCTTGGGTGAGTACTGCACCTCTCTGTGCCCAACTTTCTTCTGGAAAATTCAGATGATAGTAATTGTGCTTCCCTCTGGGGCACTCTGAAGAGCAAATGAGTTAATAGATGTAAAGTATACCAAACAGTGCCTGGCACACACTTAGCTCTTAATAAATGTTGGCCATAGTTATTATAGGAGCCCATATAAGAACCTTTCTCTGAGATGCTAACTCATTTTCTAAGTTCTGTCCCTCAAAGAAGTGATCACAGGATTCAGGATTTGTTTTTATATAGACTTTATTTTTAAAAATAGTTTTAGATTCACAGCAAAATTGGGTGGAAAGTACAGAAAGTTCCTGTTTACCCCCCAACACATGCAGAATTTTTTTTACTAGCAGTATCTACCAGCTAGTGAGAGAAACTTTTCCTTTGGAATATCCTTACCAAAAGAGGATTCAGAGGACTGAGTTACGGTTTTTGAGACTGGCCCTCATCAACCTAATCACTGTGAGGACAATGGGCATGGATGTGGCTGAGAGAACAGTAGTAGAAGTTGCAGCCTGGATGTTCATGAAATTCCCCTGAAGGCCCAAGATGGCACAGGCTCTGAGAAATCCAAAATGGTCACTTTATTGTCACACCCAGTGCTGCCTGTGTATAAAGTCTAGGCAGAGTTCAGGATGCCCGTGGGCAGGCCTCCAGGCTAGCTTCTTATTTACAATGGAGAAGAAGTTTGTTTAGAAGTTCTAAGTCCCAGCATGCAATAATTCCATGAGGAGAAACAATGATGAAATGCAAGAATTTGGCTCTTCTGTTTTTGGAAAAACTTTCCTGCTGGCTATTCAAAACAGTGATGAATAATAACCTTGTCTATGATTCGGGCTGCTTCCTTAAACCTACATGTGAGTTGTCTATAATAAAATCATAGGGTGGTTTTATGCCCAGGACAGTCTTGGTTTATGCCTGTTGTCCTGGCAAATTTTTAATAGTGCCCCCCTTTTACTCTCAAATGGTCTCAGTGTGGTTGATAAATTATATGGTGATACTTATACTTACATACATAGGACCCAGCAATGAAAATGCTCATGAAACACACACACACAGGCAAAAAGCTGTTCCAGTCTTAAAATCAGATACAGAGTGTCAGGTGGTTGGCTTAGTCACCATGCATTCCCCTTCTTGACATCATCCTTAATTACAGTAATAAAAATTGAGTTCTTCATGCTATTAACTCAAAAGGAGTCAGTAAAACTTGTGCATTAAAAAAGTGCATCTCACACTCTTTCCTGCGTAATTTCATGTTATTGAGCAGTTTTAAAGCTGTTTACATCCTACCAGAGATCCCTATATTGTTTTACCATATATTTGAATTATTTAACAAGAGAGTAAATATTTTTACCGAACAAGATGTATAGTACCAGAGGGATAGAGAGAACCATAAAGCAATGTCCTGTCCCTATATAGGGCACAGGGAAATACAAGAAAAGATTACTAAAAGGACTGAGCAGTAAGCAATAGAGTGTAATCAGTGTCATGAACAATTATTCAGAGGAGGGAACAACTTCTTCTGATTTAGATTCTTGGAAATTTGAACTGGTCTTTGAAGGTCCGTGGGGCTGAAGTTGAGGTGGAGGTGACGTGGCCTTCCAGGCAGGCGAGGACAACAGAAATAGAGGCCTCTAAGTGAAAGAATGCAAGTTGTTTTGTCTAGAGCAGAGTCCAAGTGGAGAGTCAGTAGGAGAGAAGATGAAAGGGTAGATAAGACCAGTGAAAGAAGCCAGTTAATGTTTTCATCTAAGTTAATGGCTTCCTCTTAGCTGTCTGAGTATCTGGATGTCCTAGCACAGTGTACAGCATGCTCCAGGCATCCGAAACTCCAGGCATCAGCATATCACCTTCATAATTTTGGCCTTATCTCTTTACTACCTGCTTATTATTTACTTAATGGTTTCACTAAATTTACTCACTTTTAAAATTAAATACCTTCTTCAGCCTCATCCTAAATCAGTGGTTCTCAATGGGGGGCAAATTTGTCTCTCACGGGACATTTGGCAATGTTTGGAGATGTTTTTTGGTTGTCACAACTGAAGAGAGTGCTACTAGCATATAGTGGGTAGAGGCCAGGGATGCTGTTGAACAGAACGGCCCCCACAACAAAGAGTTATTTGGCCCAAAATGTCAGTAGGGCTGAGGTTGAGAAACCCTGTGGACCTAAACAATAATATCTATGATATTGCAGGCTTGATGTACTGGTTATATTTTTTCTACTCTACGTTAAAA